AACAACAACAACTGATAATGCTTCAACAGAACTAAAAGGTAATGAGCCTTTTTTTTATTTCATCTGTCTCGGCTTATTTCTCTCTCTCTCTCTCTCTCTCTCTCTCCTCTCATACACACACACACACACACACTCTGTGGATAGTGCTGTTGTTGTAGCTGAGGGTTGTTTTCAGTACAGTAGTGATGGCCACTCTGACCGGAGAGGTGGAAGGTGGAGGTGAGAAGTTCACACTTAGAAAAAGCTTAAGGTGTGTGCCGGATGCGGAGGCCTCAGTGGAGGACTTGCTGCTGGCTGTCTGCAAACACGTAGCCTATCAAAGCTTCACAGATGAATAATGCGGTGGTTGGTGTTGAAGCAAGAAAATTGGGTTAATAGACTTTTGGTCTTGTAGTGCGGGTGATTGTATCCAGTATTCCTCCTTTTCTTAATGATGAGGCTTTGGCAAAGGAGTCATCTCATTTTGGGAAGTTTGCAAGCGGATTTGCCGATCTCTCTGAGGTGTAGGAGTCCAGATTTGAAACAAGTGTTGATGTATCCGAAATCTCCCGAGCGGACACTTAATGTCACTTAAAGTGTGGTGAGATTGGGCTGTCTAAGGAAGGAGAGGGACGTTAGGGCGAAGGAAGATAGTAATTCTGCAGTTTGGGTTGTGGGGCCAAGCAGGTGGTCCAGGGGTCTGATATGTGAGGGGATCTGTTGCGTGGGGAAGATCAGGCGGAGCAGGTGGAGACCATGGAGGAGGATGGATGGACTAAAGTGGGGGGGGGGCATAGAGCACAGCTGGTGGAAAGACAAGCAGGGGTCCAGAGAGGGCAGGCTGGTGGTGAACAACAGGAAGCCAGTGGGCTCAGCCAGTCTGAAAGAGAGTGGTATTTTGATTGGTAAATTGAGCAGGATGGTATTTTAGTTTCATTGCACTATTGAGCCTTATCTACACAGGAAGGGTAAAGAGTCACATGTCGTTTCAGTTGAAGTACCCTTGCAGATTTTAACAGTGTACGAGTAGACACGTGGAGGGTCAAACATCCACGCAAAAAAGGTCACATAGATAAAGTGCAGCATGGTTGGATGGGATATATGGGATATATATTTTCAGTGGAAATAACAGACACTTTTGTCCCCTGCAGTGTTTTCAGACCACCACATGGCACAATGTCATATGAACATTTATACAGAACACAGGCGGCCTGCATACTGGAAATTTAGTGTGAGGCTATGGCAAGATTCCAAATTTTGCTCAAGTTTTAAAAATTGTTGGGTGGTGTGGAGACAGAGAAAGGAAGAGTTATTCGCTGATGTTATGGCGAGATGTAGAAAAAGACATTTGTGTCAACTGTATACAGCATCTGCTACTGCAGAAGAAGGATGAAGGGTAGCATACAATATGTGGAGGAACAATTTATGGAGCAAAACACTGCAGAACAGAGACCAAAACCTCGTTGAAATAAGGAGGGATTTGGGCACCTCCAAGATAGAGCAAGTGGGCACATATGGTATCTGGATGTTTCCCAGGAGCTGTTGGGCTGCCAGCAGAATTTTATAAGAGTTTCTGTGTATTACTGGGCCCTGACTAGTATGATGTGGCGCTGGAGTGCCTTCATGCAGGAGATCTGCCACTCAGCAGTCGCAGGGCAGTTTTGACACTGACACTGACTTGAGAAACTGACGGCCAGTTGCACTACTCTTTGTGGATTTTAAAATTCTACAGTACGACAGTAATACACTGTAAGCAGACCTACTATGTACCAAGCCTTTCTATTCATCATAACCTGCATCTTTTGTGTGATATTATGGTCTTGGCAAGAATTGCTGGTGTGAATTTGGGCTCCTCAGTCTGGTGCTTGTTAAAAATGAGCAGGATCTTCAGGCAGGGTACACTTCAGATTTATCAAAGAGCCGCATCAGCTAAAGGGAACTTTAGATCCTGACAGATACGTTGTCTCTGTGTTATATTGTTTCATTAGTAAAGGGTTGAATGTTTTGAGAAGTTCTACACAGTTCTACAAATTAGATGCCTTTGCAATTATCATTTGTGGAGTTTTCAACCACATCTTGACTGTAACATGCATTAGAAATCTCTTGGAAGAACTAGTAAGTGGAACTTGTTGCAGACTGTGTTTTTAATGGATGCAAGTTCTGTACTAAAAGTAACAGTTTGATTTGGTTAAAAACTACCAGATGAATCTTTAAACACTTTTGTTGAACATTGTAAACAAGGTATTTTCTCACTTTCTTGGGTTGTGTTATTTCATTCATGCAGGTGGCACAAAAACAACAACAACTAAATCAACAACAACTAAAAACAGCTCAACATCAGTTACAACAGCAGTCAGTGATACTTCAACCAAACAAGGTAGGAACTCAACAATTCTCAATTTCTCGTGTCTTTTTCTTTAAAATCTCTCTCTTCAGTCTCCTCTCCACATATTTGACTTATTGTGTTGTTTTTATTGTTGTATCCATGTTTGTGCAGATGTTTCATGTGTATTTTGGCGGCAATACAAAAAAGAAGAGAGGTTCTTAATTTACTCACTTTCTGGAAAGACAAAAATCTCCTTTCATCGTGGTATAGAGCCAAAAATATAAGTGATCAAAAAAATGATGATTGATTTAGTCAGTGAAAACATGTGTAATGCTGGAGTACGAGGCTTGTACAACCACTGCTGTAGTGGACGAGCCATTTAGATACTGTAATGTAATTATTCTCTCTTCTCATTGGAAGTGTAAAGTATGAATGTCAGAGCGACACTCTGCTCTGGGTGAAGATATTCGCTTGTTCAGTCAGTCAAACAGTGTTGTTGTTCATGTTTCCAACCTTAGTCTGTTGAAATCTTCTTTACAATTACTTTGATTTACACACAATAAATGAAGGAAGTAAATGTTTGGAAAAGGGAAGTTAAGTTCTTTAACTGAAATGGAAACATGATGATTTAGTTCTTTGCAACACAAGATAATAAATAACAAATAAGATGCTTTCCTCTGTTACCTATAAAGAAGGTCACCTACGTCGAGATGCTGGTCGTCTACATCCAAAAGTGACAGACAGTTTAGTATCAGCGACAACAACAAGGTCCACACTCTCTGGTTGATCTGTCTGTTGTTACCAGTGAGTATTTACATCATAATGTTTTCAGCTGCAAACTGTCTTGTTAGAACAAAAACTGAAACATTAACTAATTATGATTTTAAGTGATGAAGTTCCTCATTTTTTAGCTCTTTGTTCGTCCTTTCTCTCACATATCTCCCATCTTCACCCAGTGACTGAACACAAGGACTCTGATAAGGTTGGACATTAAGCTGCTCTGTGTCCGACATTTGGACACGATGTATACCAACAGTGAAGTGGCTGGAAATGGGGGTAAAGATTCTGGATAAAAGATATCAACCATGACGAAGTGTAAAGACATCACAGTTTCATCTCCCTGCAAAGTCCTATCGCTGACCTTTTAAGACTTCATCATTTTCATTTACACATCAAACTATAACTCATTGAAGTGTGCTAGTGACTGATGGTAAGCAAAGAGCAGCAGTTTCCCTTCAGACCTTCAGCCCGTCAGCTGATGCAAATCCCAGGT